ACTTTAAGACACAGTGCCTGGTGCCTGCTTTTTCCCTCCTCCCTTCCGACAGCTTTTCCTTTCATGCTGTGACTTTTTAGATTGTAAGCCTGAGTGGAGGGACCATCTTATCACTGACATCTGCAAGGCTGCTCTGGTGGTTTCTATGAAGTAATGTGAATTTGTTGCCTGATTAACCAGGGGCGCCTTTTTAAAAGCGCGTTATGGGGCTTTTGTTTTATATTAAGCGACCGAACATCCCAGCCCTACAGTGTTCCCTCTGTATGCTACTATGCTAATAGCAACCTGCCCTTACGTGGCCAAGACAGGACCAGCCAAAGCAAAGAGGGAGGGGGGATGTCAGCAGGCTCAGACAGACCAAGGCTTGCAGGGGTACCAAAGCCAATAAAAATTCCCATAAGAGGCATCTGGTTGGCCACTGTGAGGACAGAATGCTGGCCTAGATGGGCTCCCTTTGGCCTGATCCAGAAGCGAGACTCTTCTTTGGTTCTTAAGTCAGCAGGTGAGGCTCCGGAGAGCAACCGCAAGGCTGGGATAGAAAGAGGAGCCCACAGCCTGCAAGGTGGGCAAACTGGAGGGGGACTCAGCCCCTCCTCTCCACCCCCCAATTCCTCAAGGTGCAAGGGGGCTCTTCCTCGTGGGCGCATGCCTGGCTGGGTGCCCCCTGGCAGGCACCCAGCCTTGTGTCATCGCACCTGGGTGCAAGAAGCACTCCATTGCCGCTGGGCCGTTTCCGCACCCCCTCCCCGCCGTCTTCCCCTCTTTCTACCTGCACAGCTGTTTCCTTCCTGGAGGCTGGAGCAGACCCCCCCCCCGCCTCAGTGGGACGCGAGAGGCTTCTGTAGGTGCTTGGGAACAAGACGGAACAGAAATCGCTTCACACCTGGCTCCGAAATTACAGAACGCTGGCGCCCAGCCAACGCAAGCCTGGCAGAGCCCCAGCTCCAGCGGACATCAATTACGAGGGGCCGACAGAGCCTCTGCTTCCCGCAAATCTGGGGCGCCCCAGAAAGGGAACCTTCGGCAGCCGCCCGAGACTTCCAGGTGGGAGCCTTTTCCCTCGGATTCCGCACCCGAGATTTATGGCTCAGTTCAGTCTGCCCCCCCCCCCAAATCCTAGCTCCTCTTTCCCCTCCAAGTCAGAGACGCTCCTGCGGGTTTTCTCCAGGGCTCGCCTCTCCTTTGTCTCAATGCAAGGCTGGCCTCAGATTAAAATTTTTTAATTTTCATAGAATCACAGAATTGTCGAGTTGGAAAGTATTTCAAGGGACACCCAGGACCACCGCCTGCAATGCAGGAATCTCAGCTAAAACATCCATGATTTTGATGGAAATGATAAATATTACAAAACAAACGATTGTTTGTCATCCAGAATTAATATTGCTGAACACTGTCAAAAGAATTGATCTCGGCAGCTGAAACAGTCATTGCAACTCAACAGAAAACAGCCCAAAATCTATTATTTGGTACCCTCTGGAACAAAGCTAGAATGGAGAAAATTAGGCACAGCTTGAGATTTTGAGAAGGGCTAGAACCTCTAGATGCTCTGAATATGGTTTGGAATGCCACTGTTACATAGACAAGGGGAGTATCACTTTCAAGACAACTCTTGGTCCAAGCCTGGCAAATCTTGATCTAGACTATCAGACAAAACTGATATTCTTTACTTGGGACTGTGCAATTTTCATCCATGTGCAACTGTACTCATTCAAAGTGCCTGTTTCATAGTTTTGTTTTTCATTTTTTCATCTTTACCCATTGTTGTAACTGTTCTCTGTCTTATATACATTATATAAATAAATTAAAGCTTTACAAAAAAAAAATAAGGTTCCACTTGCCACAAGTCGGCCCTTGCTGAGTGCACAAGCAGCATTTGCTGGGGGTGTCATCCTGCCCCCCCCAAGCCAAAAGCAGAGGCAGTGCACACAGAGGCTGCAGCATTCCCTGTAAGGGACACCTGCATCACAGAGGCAGAAAGGGCACCCCAGAGTTCATTTAGTCCAACCCGCTGCTGGAGAGAGGGACCATATGCAAGGCGCTTTACAAGCAAACAGCAAAATACGCAACACAGGTTGTGTACCAGTCTGATCCAACTAAGTCATAATTAAAAAATGTAACATTAAAATAAACAACTTCATATCAAATAAATGTAATATTTCATAATCCATTCAGGATATAATATTGCACAGGCCATAAAATAAAAACAGAGAGCGAGAGGAACTCTTGCTCCCACCCTGGATCTGAAGGAGGCAACCCCATCCCTGGGTGCATTGCTTGCGACTGCACAACGAAAGGGGCCTGGTGCATGAAAAGGAGACCCCCCCCGTTGCCCCCCATAGCAGATACAGCAGGAGAAACAGGCTGCTGCAAGGATATAGGGAGGGGGAGGAGGGGGGAACTCTCCTCTCTGGCTGGTCCTGCAAATGAGAAAAACACAGCCTGGTTTCTGCTGGGGGGCCTTTGCTGGGACCTCGGGGTGGGGGGGGGGAGGGGCTCCTGGCCTTTTTTATTATGGGTATTTAAAAACCTCTCTTTCCTTTCTTCTTCCTTTTTTTTTTTTTTGCTATTAACATGTGACATGCTTAGGGGACGGTTCGGGTTTCAAGACCCCCTGTGCTCCAGTGTGCAAAAAGCATTAGCCCTTCCCATTCCCCCGCACCTTGCCAGCTGGACTCTCGGTAGCCAAAGCCAGAGGTCTGCAGCCCAGAACAGGACAGCCGCTACTGGCCTAGCCTCCGGCCCAAAGACTAGGATTCGAGGGGTAAAGCTCTTGGGGGCAGCATTTTTTTTCCCGTACAGAAGGCAGGGACATGTGATGAAGTTGAGAGCTTTTAGATTCAGGGCAGATGAAAGCAAGTCCTTCTTCGTGAGCTATGGACCTCTCTTCCACAGGAGGCAGAGATGGCCACCTGCTTGGATGGCATTATAAGAGGATTGGACAGGAGGATAAAACTACTGATGGTTATTCACCCTAATGGCTCTGATCTGATTCCACGGTCACAGGCGGTGATGCTTCTCAGTCTCAGGGTTTGCCTTTAGGGCATCTTATGAGTGAGAAGAGGTGGACGTGCCCAAGGATTAAGGCCTTCTGGGAGACGATATATAATGAATTGAAAAAGGTATTTAAATATACCTTCTTGAAGAAACCAGAGGCCTTTCTCCTGGGCATAGTTGACCAATTGGTGTTAAAGAAGGATAGAACTTTCTTTATGTACGCTACAACAGCAGCAAGAACACTTATTGCAAAATATTGGAAGACACAAGATTTACCCACTCTGGAAGAATGGCAGATGAAGGTGATGGATTACATGGAATTGGCGGAAATGACTGGCAGGATCCAAGACCAGGGAGAAGAGTCAGTGGAAGAAGACTGGAAGAAATTTAAAGACTATCTACAGAGACATTGTAAAATTAATGAATGTTAGAATGATGTTGGATTGAAATTAAGTGGTTTCTAGCTGTAATGGTATAAAAGAATATGGAAAAAAGGTTTTTTATAAGTAAAAATTCAAGGTTATAATAATTTAAGATTAAAGATCTGGGTAGAATAAAGAGGGAAAGAAATTGCTGAGCTAATAAATTGAATTGGAATACAAAAAAGGGAGGCCCGAGGAGGTCCGAGAAACAAGTAAATGAAAAATAATGTGATGAAAAGATTGATTGTTTTTAACTATTTTTATTTTGTACTTTTTCTTTTTCTATTTTGTAATGTAAAAATCTTAATAAAAATTTTATAAAAAAAAGAAAGAAAGAGAAGAGGGTGCTGGGCCAGATGGCAATGGGCTTGATCCAGAAGGCTCTCCTTTTGTTCCTATCCGAGGTCCAAAGAGGAGAGCTCCCAACCCCAACTCAGGAGGTGTCATCTTCATAGGACATGGGTGCTAAGAGAGGCCTTGATCTGGGGCCAAGGGAGGCCATCGTTGGTGGGCTGTGCAGGGTCCAGAATTGCACCAAGCCAATGCAGAAATCCCACAAGAGGGGAAGAGGGGCTGCTCTTGCGCTCAAGCCCTGCTTGAGGGTTTCCTACTGGGGAATCTGGTTTGCCGATATGAGAACAAGATGCTGGACGAGATCAGGCCCCTTTTATGTTCTACAAAAGAGGAAAGGGAGAGGTGACACGAGAGCCAGCTTCAAATAAGGAAGGGCTGTCACATGGAAGATGGAGCAAGCTTGTATTCTGCTGCTCCAGAGGCGAGGACGAGTGACAAGGAAGGAGATTCAGGAAGAACTTGCTGAAGTGAAGAGCCATTCAGCAGTGGCTGAAGGTCGTGGGCTCTCCTCCCTCGGAGGCCTTTAGATGGAGGTTGGGTGGCCACCTGCCAGCGATTCTTCAGCTGTGATTCCTGCTTTGCAGGGGGGTGGGCTAGAGGACCTTTGGGGATCCCTTTCAACTCTACAATTCTATGAACCCCAGAGAGATGCTGCTGGTGGGGCAAGGGAAGCTGCAGGAGATCTGGCAGCCCCCCCCAATAACCCCCACTGGGTGCTTCTTTTCACTTCCCCGCCAACCTTCTTTATCGCCCGGTCTTTAGAGGAAGAGAGATAGATCTGGCCGGCTTCCTCCTCACGCAGGGCTCTGCAGTCGGGGCGGGGAGGGGGGAGAGGAGGAGGCTGCTCAGAGGAGCGTGATGCAAGCCATTTGGAGGAGCTGCAGAGAGCTGCCAACGCAAGCTGCGCTCTTTAAACAAGGGAGGAAATGACCGTATCTACGGCATGCCAGCGAGCGCACTCACAGACACACTCTCACATACACACACACTCTCTCTCTTACACACACACACACACACACAGCAAAAGGAAGTCAAGAGGGTTTTTCATGACACAGAGCGGGATGTCAGCGGCTAAAAGGTCGATATTTTCCCTTAACACCCTTTTCTCAATGACTTAATCGTGTTCCGTTTGCACAAAAATGCTTCCCAAGAAGAAACGGCCTGGAGGGTTGCGGAGGGGGGAGAAAGAGAGGAGGAGGAGGAGGAGGGGCGCCGTGCCCCGGCCCTGACCTTGTCCGAGGATTTCTCCACGTAGCAGGGCTCCTGGGGGGCGACCAGCAGCGGGACGAAACCCGAGAGCAGGCGGTCCTCCTCCAGGCTGAGCAGGGCCAGGTCCTCGTCCGGGTCCTTGTAGAGCGGCACCTCCGACTGGTTCACGGCCGTCAGGATGTTGCAGAAGTCGGCCAGGGTGGCCCACACGTCCACTGAGACCCTGCAGGGTGGGGAGAAGGAGGGGGGAGCTGAGCAAGGCAGGAGAGACCCCCATCCCCAGGACACCGCAGACACTCTTGCTCTGGAGATGCAACTTCCCTGCAGGGCTGGGCACTCTGTTGCAGGCAAGGCGTGGGCACCCCTTCCCCTAAAAGATGCCTGCCCCCCATGTCACATAGGCTGGAGGGGCCTCTTCCCCGTTATCTATTGCATTTCTACCCCACTGTCTTCTCCAATGAGCTCAAGGGGATACATGCCATTCTCCTCTGTCCCAGCAAGGTGGCTCAGGCTGAGAGGCAAGAGGGGCTGGCCTCTAAGGTCACCCTGCGTGCTTCATGGCCGAGCGGAGATTTGAACCCTGGTCTCTCCCAGGCCCCAGTGCTGGACTCTAACCACTGCACCGCCACTGTCTCTCAAATACTGAACTCAACATGGACTCTACGGAAGACAGCAGAGAGGAAAGGGGGAGGCCCAGGGACACAAGGGGCACACACACATGAACACCTTTAAGGCTCAAGGGGCCACAACTAACAGGCTTTGCCCGGTTGAGGAAGGATCTCACAGAGAGAGTAAAGGGAAAGCACAGCGAAAGGAAGGATAAGCTGCTCCGAGTCTGGTGGAGAGTGCCAAGCTCTTGGGCACCCACTGGGTGCCCACTCTCCTCACTTGGTATTGGAGCCACGCTGGCTCCTGGGGGAAGCATGACGACAGCTGTGGGAGGGCCAAACTGGGCCGGCCGTGGCCCCCGAGTACCTGCTCTGCATGCAGAAGGCTCCAGCTTCAAACCCCAACTGCATCATCCCTGGGGAGGGCTGGGAAAGACACCTCCAGGGGATGCTGCCAGTCCGTGTAGGCAAAACTGACCTGGATGGTAGCTTCCTATATCCAGCTTCAACTCCTGGAAGCATCCCCATTAAACTGTGGGTAGCAGTTGCCAGCAACCAGCATTCGGAAGCACCAGTTTCCGACCATGGAGGCAGAGCACAGCCACCTTGGCAAGGAGCCCTCCAAAGCCTCCTCCTCTTCCTCCATGTGTTTGTGCAATGCTCTTTTAAGGCCATCCAGGTTGGTGGCCATCACTGCCTCCTGTGGCAGGGAGTTCCACAGTTCAACCCCGAAGAAGGGCTTTCTTTCGTCTGCCCTGACTCTCCCGACATTCAGCTTCAGGTATGTCATGAGAGAGAGACATGAAAGGCGGGGTGGGGGTGTTTGCTGGCATCCTGACACCAGTTTCGCTTCTGGCCGCAGCTTCACCCTCGAAGGCACCCTGGGGAGGAGGGTGTGTAGCGTGTGGGTGGCTCTCACACCCCGCAGAGCCGAGGGTGAGAACAGAGAGTGCCATTTGGGAGCCCTTTCAAGTGGTGCAAAGAGGGGCCTGGAAGAGCATGTCACCACGGCTGGGGAAACCTCAGAAGCCAGGCTGGGCAGGGGAAGAGGAAGCAGAAAAAATGATGCAAAGCAGTCAAAAAGGGTGGAAATGGGCCAAGCGAGTTGTGCTCCCTTTGCAGCACTTTTCGCAGAATTGTGGTGTTGGAAGGGACCTCCGAGGATCATCCAGCACAACCCGCTGCAACACAGGAATCACCGCTGATGCAAGCTCGGCTTAAAAGCCCCTAGGGAATCATAGGGTCGTGAAGGACCCCACGGGTCCTCTAGTCCAGCCCCCTGCAATGCAGGAATTGCAGCTAAAGAACCCCAGGGAACAGACAGCCATTTTTTATCCCAATTCTCAAAGCAATCTCGCCCGGTTGCACAACGCTGGTGATGTCACCTGCAGCTGCCATCTTGGGCTCCAGAGGGACCTGGCACAGGCGCTCACTTTGAGGGCTTGCTCCCCAGCGAGCCTGCATTAAGGATTGCAGCCCCAAGAGGGAGTTGTGGACGATACTGACACCCTGCCCAACGACAAAACGTTAACTGGGTGCCTTGCAAAGAACTGTATTCTTGAGGGGCAGGAATGAAGGGATGAAAAACAGGAGGAGTCTCAGTGGTGCAGGACATGGCAGTCCTTCCTAAGGTTGGGGGTGGGTGAGCAGGGAGAGGAAAGGGGCACAGCTGGGCATGACCTTGGGGGCCGGTCACTGCCTCTCTCAGCTCAACCCACCTTGCAGGGTTGTTGCCAGGATTAAAATGAGGAGGGGGAGAACCAGGGACGCTCCTCGGAGAAAAAGGTGGACCAGAAATGCCAAAAATGAATGAGTAAATAAATATTGTTGGAAGCAGCCGGCCAAGGACAATGAGGGTCAGTTTGCAGAAGCAGGGGGTCATGTTCTCATGCTCACTCCTCAAACCTCTTCTCAAAAAGTGTTCGCTTTCAAGAGGGACGTTTTTCGCCGTGGGACCAGAGAAAAGGGTCACTCCAGTGGTGGCAGGGAAAGGGACCCCCCTCCTTGCCCTCTCTCTCTGTGCCCGCTCACCCTGGGACCAGGGAAGGTCTTCCATCCTCGGGGCCTACGACAAGCCCCCTACCCCAACACCTCCCCCCCCCCAGCAAGTGGCTCCAGGTGGACAATCTGCACTCATTTATTTGCTGGAATCAACATGCGGGGAGGGGGGAGGAGAGAGAAAAGCCTTGCATTGAAACGAAACATCTTGTTTTCAAGAGTGTCCTGGGAGCTGGGCGGAATGAGCTGCCATTAATCAAAGCCCAGCACACCATCAGCGCCTGCCTGCGCCCCCAGAGCCTTGGTCGGAGGGAGGGAGGCAGGGAGGAGGGGGCCCCCAGATCGTGGCTCCCCCTCCCCACTTTGCCCCGGCCAGGTCTGGCTGTCAGAAACATTTAAAAGGTGGAAAACGCACACAGAGAGAAACAGGAGTAAATATGTGGGGCTTTGGGGGGGGGGGGCGGGAGGGCGGACGATGTCCAAGGGTCCCCCATGATGTAATGGGAAAAGGCTTGGCTTGCACTACCAGCTTGAAAATAAACAGAGCCTGGAGGGTTAAAAGGAACTGAACTTTCCACGAACTGCCCCCCCTCCAGATCCGCACCAGAGGAAACGTATATGAGCAACGGTGCTGCCCCCCCCGCCCTGCGCTGCCCCACGGCCCTGAGCTTATCCTCGGGGCCTTGGCTGCAGAGACAAGGGCCGGATGCAAAAGGACAGCTCTGGGCCACCTCCGACGTGCGATGCTGCTGCCCATGGGGCGCGGGGAGGAAGGATTTGGCCAGGCTTCAGGAGGCCTGATGCTCCCACCCCCGCTGGCAGCCCCCACCAGCAGTGTGAGTCCCCCACCGTCACCCGCCTGGGGCAGGAGGCTGGGAGGCGGCAGCAGAGGGAGGCAGAGACCCCAGGCTGCAAGCCACAACAGCTCTGCTTCCGAGGCTCTTGGGCTCAGATCCTGCTTTCAGAGACGTCTGGTTGGCCACTGGGAGGACAGGAGGCTGGGCCAGGTGAGCGACTGGCCTGATCCGGCAGGGCTCCTCCTATGCTGTCATTGCCTCTATAGACTGCCAGAAGTGGCTTTCCAGGGGTCTCTGGCAGGGGCACCCCCAGCCCTTCCCGAAGCAGACTCCTTCACCGTGCAATTCAGGCACTTCGTTCCTGGGCTGCTTCCCTCAAAAGCAAGGTCCCAGGCCAGACGGTCCTGAATTCAGGGTGGATTTAACAAGAACAGCTGCTTGACCCCTGGCTGGACTGGACTGCCCCACCGAGCGCAGTACTTTGGCTGGCAGCAATGGCTCTCCAGGGGTTCAGAGAGGGGGGGGAATACTCCACTAGCCCTTCCCGGAGCTGCGCCGGGGGCTGAGCCTTGGGCCTTCTGCACACAAAGCGGGAGCTCTGTCCCCTGGGCACCTGCTCACTACCTGACCTTGAGAAGGGTGTGAGAGCAAGGAAGCGCCCCCAAGAGCAATGCTCTAGGCCACAGGGCAGTTCTCCTTGGGGGAGGAATGGGCGCGGTGCCTTGGTGCTGGGCAACCCTGAACCAGGCAGGGAGAATAGCCGCTTTCTCCCCAAAGCACGGCCTCCTGGACAGAGCAGCAAAGACCCCGTTTGCTGGGACTGCCAGGCTGCAGGAGGAAGGGCCCGGGTGGGGCGAGGACTGCCCACTTTTATTTGCCGCCCTTCTCCCAGCAAAGCCAAGCAATGTCTTTTCCTTCCTCCGTCTTCCTGAATTCCTGGGCTCCAAGGGCAGGGAGACTGCCCAGCCAGAGCAGGTCAGGGTGACCGGGAGGCTGAAATGGGGGCACAGCCTGGAGACAAAGGAAGCGGGGCATGGATGGTCGGGGCAGGGGTAGGGAGAAGGACTCTCTTCCGAAACTAACCTGGGTTGGGGGCGAGGCCTGGGCTCCGGAGGCTTGCAGGAAGGGATCCCCGAGTGCCGTGGGGCAGCCTGGGGCCTCCTCGCACGCACCCCCCTTCCCACGCGCTGAACGCCAAACACAATGACCCCATGTTCCAGGCCTGCGGGGGCCCCACGGAGGTGGCCGTTTCCTGTGTAATACCAGCCTGTTTAAACACTCGCACTCACCAGCCCCACAGCTGCAGCTCAAACCCGGAAGGAGTGCGGTGGAAGGAGCCCAGGGCTGCACTCCAGATGGCAAACCGCTCGGGCCTTTTGCTCTTGCTTGGGGGGGGGGAGGGAAGGCAGCTCAGCCCAGCCGCCTCTCCCGGCAACTTCTTGCCAAGCCCCCATCCTGCTAAGAGCAGCCCCTACAGACAGGTCCCCCCCCAAAAAAAGATGGCAAAGGTCAAAGAGCAGGAGGTGGCAACTGGGGGTCCTCCCTCCCCACAGCTCTCCTGGGGGCTTGTTCCTTGGGCCACAGGCAAGTCCAAGGCGGAAGGGAGAGAGAGCTCCGTGTCACTGGGCTCCTGGTGGGGAAAAAGACTTCTGAGTGGGGCAGGGCTGTATGTGGGGTGTGTGCTTCTTTTTCCTTCCTTATATTATCCCTTCCACCTCTCCATCTCCCTGGCACATCTCCTCCTCAAATTACGTCCAAATAGTACCTGCATTGTTCTAACCTTTGATAATGAACAAAAATACCAACAAATACTACGGACCGGCAGCAAAAGATCCGTTTTAGCAAGCAGTCTTGTTCAAGCAGTTGTTTCATCGGACGGCTCACTCCCAAAGTAAGTCATCGCTTGATGCCAGTCATCACTTGATGCATTCCAGCACTGCAGTGCGCTGGACTAGATGAGCCTGGGGGGTCTCTTCCAACCCTACAATTCTCTGGTAAGAACGCAAGCGGGGTCTGCTGGATCTGGCCAAAGGGGTCCTTCGAGTCCCACCTGCTCTCACAGCGGCCAAGCAAATGCCCCAACGCTCAAGCAGCATTCGAATGCAGGAGCTCCCCCCCCGCAAGGGCCACTCTCCCTCTCCCCCCAAGGAGCTTTGGCCAGGGCAGGAGGTGTCCCTGAACGCTGACCACCCCTCTGGGTTACCTGGGTGAGGAGGGTGCATCCCTGTCAAGCATCCTTTCGCTGTGATTCCTGCACTGCAGGGCGTTGGATTGGATGACCCTCGGGTGCCCCTTCCGACTCTACCATTCTATGTGCATCTGAACAACCCCCTGGCTGAAATGTCACTGTACAAAAAAGCCACATCCATTGCTCTGGCCACGCCTGCCACGAAACCCCACCGCATGGGGACCGTATGTGGGATGTGACATGGCCCTCCGGTCTTCCCTCTGCCCCCCACCCCAAGAAAAAGCCACTGCCGCCCTTGGGCACAAAGGAGGCGTCCTTTCCTCTTTTTTCCTAAAGGGGTAAAAACAGTTGCCGGCTCTGGGCTAAGCGAAACACTGGCTGCCGGACACCGGCTTCCTTCCTAGGCCCTAGGAAATGCCTGCTTCCCCCCAGCGCGCTCCCCCCCACCTGGCCCGAGCGCCAATGCCACATCCTCCGTCCCTGCTCCCCCCTCCCTGCAAGAGGGGAAGAGGAGAACGCCGTCCCGGTTTCCACTCGGAGGACTCTGGCGTAAAAGCTCCAAGCGGGTGATAAATGCATCCGAGGGCCAATTAGGAAGATATATGGCGGCAGAGGCAGCGGCAGGAGCGCAGGGGAATGGGCCTGGGCAGCCTGGCGAGGAAGAGGAGGGGGCAGGCGGAGGGGGGGGGAGGCGCGGAGGGCTCTCCAGAGTCCCAGCTATGTTTCCCATTATGTAACCCTGGTCATGGGCAGGCCGCCAGGCGCTCCAAATGAAAAAGAGACTCTGGCTTGGCACCCGTTCTATTTTCCTATCCTCATTCAGGGTCAGCGGAGTGTCATACAGCTGCGGAGAAAGCTCCGGGGATTAAGCCTGGGAAGGGCTCCAAAGCCCGGGACCCGGGTTCAAGTACCAGCTGAAAGCAATAAACCAACTGCCGCAGCTGGGCTGAGTTTAGCCGGCCTCGGAGCCTGCGCTGGCTCCCTGGGAAACAGGCCGCCTGCCTGCCGGGGGGCAGGAAAGAGGGGTACCGGGGTGGAAACGACAGAGGTTGCCACGGCTTGGGCCTGGGGGGCAGCGGCTGGAGGGTAGCGGGGCCCTGATCCTCCTTTAGGGCCCTGTTCCTGTGCATCAGAAAAGGGGTGTGCATGTTCAGACTCCCCCCGGCCAGCAAAGACAAGTTGTTTGCGTCCAAATTGTTTGGGAGCCTGGATGTTTCGGGGTATGTGTGTGTGTGCGTGTGTGCATGTGTGCGTAAGGTGCCATAAGTCACGCCCTGGCAGATTTTGGCAGGGGGAGCGCCAATCCTGTGCTCAACTGGAGCTTCCTTTACCAGAAAGGCCCCGCAAACAAGTCCTGGGATGTGAAGCCCAGCCCTGTCCACCCCCATGAGGCTGACGCATGGTCCAGTGGTCCTGCCACTCGCCTAAGTCCATTAGCTTCACCACCTGGATGGGGCTCCTCCCACCTGCGCTCCTGAGCAAAGTGAGGAGGACAGCCTGTCAGTGTCCTGGGGGCCTCCCTGAGAGGAGACGGGACGAGGGGCCCTCCACCACCCATTGGCCATGTGTGGAGAAGCGGGGGCCAGAAGGGAGGAGGTGTCTCTGGGATGTGCCCCTGCCGCAAAGTCACGGGGAGGCAAGCCTCAAGTTCTACGCTTTGAAAAAATTGGGATTCCCTTGTGGGGCTGGTGCCCCCCTTGCCCCAAAGAGGTCAGGCACAGGCTAACATACCGCCCCAAACAATGCTGTTTCCTGCATTGCAGGGAATGGGGCTAGATGACTGTTGGGATCCCTTTCGACTCTACAATTATATGATTAGGCACATAGGGAGCTGCCTTATATGGAGCCGCACCACTGGTCTACTCAGTACTCTCTACACTGACTGGCAGCAGCTCTGTAGGGCGTCAAGCAAAGAGGCAGAGGGGTGTCCTTAGCCCTACTTGTGGATTCCAGCAAGGATTGAACCAGGGACCTTCTGCTTGCAAGGGAAGCTCCACCACTGAGCTATGGCCCTTTTTAGTGACCAGGGATCCTACTGTGTTGAAGGGAGAGCAGCGAGGCTGGAAGAGGAAGAGGAGGAGTGGAACCCCACTGGGAAAGGAGTCGGGACTGGCAGGAGGGGGGCTCCTGTGAGTGCCCTCTCTGGGGGTCTGAGCTGCTGTCCAAAGATGGGCAACAGTTCACATAGACAGGCTAGCGCCCCCCTCCCCCCACCAGCCAACCAACCAGCCAGCCAGCCAGCCGGCCCCAAGCAGCCAGCAAACAGAAAACAGACTCTTTTTCCCGCTCCCCCAAAATGGGGCCCGGCACTTCCTGTGTGAGATTTCCATTTCCTCGGCCAAAATGAAGCAAAAAAAGAGAGAGAGAGTAGTAGCCATAAAGGAGGGAAGAGGCTGGAGATGGACGGACATCCTGCCTCCTCCTGCCCCTGTGCAGCAGGAGTGCTGGGGAGCCATCTTTGAGCTGCAGCCTCTTTGCAGGACGGAGCCCCCCTCCGCTCCCGGGAGCCTCGTCTTCCCCATCATCACCCTCAGCCCTGGCTCTGACAGATTAATAGGACTGGGGAGGAGGGGGAAGAGGCCGAGGGGATCCGGATCCGGGCGCAAAGGCCTGCAGGGAAGGGCGGAAGGGGAAGAGCATGCTGGGAGAAAGGCCTCTGGGCCCACCAAGAGCCTGGGGCAAGAAGTGGCTCAGAAAGATGCAAGCAAAATGTGCATGGAGCTGCCTAGGGGGTCGCAGCTCAGGGAAACGGGGGCAAAGGGGTGGGGCTGGGATCAAAACAGCACCCCCCCCGGGTCCTGCTTGCTTCCGGCTTCTTTCCATCGGGGCATCTGAATAGCGGCTGTGAGGACAGGATATGCTAGGCTACATGGGCCCCCTTGGGGTCTGATCCAGCTACAGGGCTCTTATGGAGCCTCCAGCTCCAGAGGCAGTCTATCTAGACTCCCAGATTCTTAGGGGTGTTTGGCCACTGTGAGCTCAGGATGCTGGACTAGATGGGCCCCCTTTGGCCTGATCCGGCAGCCAGGCTGTTCTGATAAAGGATCGATTCATAATTCAGTTAGTGGGCGCCCTCTGGATGATGCCAGGATCTGCCAGCCTCCATCTGCTCCAGGGACTGTGGCCGATGGAAAGGCGGTGGGAGTTGTAGCCCAGAACTTCCAGGGTGACATGCCAAAGTAAGACTGAGGAGATCTGGGTTCAAATCCCCACCCACTGTTAAGCTGATTGGGTAGTCTTGGGCCACCCACTGACTCTCAGCTCAACATGCCTTGCAGAGTTGCTGGGGGGGGGGGGACAGAATTGGGGAGAGCATAAGCCCCACCCAGGGCTCCTTGGAGGAACGGCAGCAAGCAAAGGTCATAGGTAAGATAAATGGAGGCCGAAGAAGGTGCTTAGTGACTTACAGCCACCCGCATGCATGGCAGAGGGCAGAGGGCAAGTCCCTGCCTGGGTGAGGAGAGGAGAGAGGAGAAAGGGGCGCATAGCCCCCCAAGGGTGCTGACGTACGATCTGGGCAGCTCCAGGGTGCTGGGCGGGGGGTTCCAGGTGTCCGAGTGGCCCAGCATCCAATCCGACCAGACCTTGATGCTGGGCAGCAGTTCCTTCAGGTCCTGCGGCAAGGAGGAGACTTTGATGTCATCGTCCTCGGAGCCTTCCTGGCCCTGAGCAGCTGCTGAGAGAGAAAGAAACGCAGAGTGGGCCGGGCAGCTCCTCTCAAGAACGCCCCTCGCCTGCTCCTCTGCCACCACCCCCTCTCTTGGCCCTCTGAAAATCCTCTGGGAAGGAGCGAGATCTGAACCAGGGACAGAATCTTTGCTGGAAGATTCAGGGCAGGTAAAAGAGAGGGCTTCCTCTCGCAGTGCACAGCAAAACTATGGAACTCCCTCCTGGACACCAACCTAGATGGATCGGCTTAAAGAGAGGACTAGGCAAATTCAGGACAAGGCTATCGGTGGCTACTAGGCAGGATGGCTCTGCCTCCGCAGTCCAAGGAAGTACATGCCTCTGAATATCACTTGCTAGGAAGGTTTGACCATGGAATGGACTCCCTTGAGAGGTCGAGGTCTCTCCTTCCTTGGAGGTTTTGAAGCAGAGGTTAGATGGCCATCTGTCTTTGGGTGCTTTAGTTGAGATTCCTGCATTGCAGGGGGTTGGACTAGATGACCCCTGGGGTGCCTTCCAACTCCACACGATTATGTGAATCTCGTAGGAGAGTTGCGGCTGCTGGTGGCCACTGCAAGGCCAGAATCCTTGGGGCTGATCCAGCGCCAGGCTCTCTTCTGCTGGTCTCTGCCCTTCAGAGCTTCAGTCTGGCCTTGCTCCTTCCTCTCTCAACTTGCAGAAACCATCCCAAGGCCAGTCTAAGGACGCTCTGGGTTTCCTTGATGCAGCTGTGACTGCAGCTGAAAGGGGAGGGGGAACAGCAGAAGGGCCCCACAAAGGACAGGGACAAAGGAACTGGGCTATCCACCAGGTGGGCAGAGGGCACCTGCTTTGTATGGAGATGGTCCCAGGTTCAGTCCCCAACTGCCCCTCCAGGCAGGGCTGGGAGAGGTCCCTGCCCCAAAGCCCCGGAGAGCTGCTGCCCATTAGAGAAGACAATATGGAGTCGGCTGGAGAAAGCCCCCTGGCGTAAGGGAGCTTCCCACGAGCATAGCCAGAAAACAGTTCCTAAATAGAGGCTGAGCGTCAACTCCAAATCCGGGCGCTAAGAGCTGCGAAATTCCACAGACAGCGTAAAATCAGGCACACGTGCTGCGTCTTTTCTTAGTTTCACCCAGTGGATTCTGCCTCAGCCGGTTGCATGGAGAGGCAGAGCGCTGAAGCCTCTGCCCCGCCAATGAACAGCAATTCTCCTCCTCTCCACCATCTGCCTTCTGCCAGTCCATTAGGCTTCTTCACAGCCATATGGGCTGGGAACTTTTATATTTTAATAAATGAAAATTTAAGGCTTCCTGATGCCAAAATGGGGGGAAGAGGGTCCCTGCTAGTTGGTCCCCACCCTGAACACCAGGAGGAAGAAGAGGAGGATTGGGCAGGTCCCACTCTAGGAAGACTGCAAGCTGCCTTGGGTCCCTCTGATGCAGCACTGTCTACTACTCTGACTGGCAGCAATGGCTCTCCAGGGCTTCAGAGAGGGAGTCTCTCCCCACCCTACCTGGAGATGCCTCTGGGGACTGAGGCTGAGACTGTCTGCATGCAAAGCAGGGTCTCCACCACAGAGCTATGGTCCTTTTCTCTGAAAAGAAGTCGATTCAAGCCTCATGTTTCTAAATACAGGGACAGCTTAAATGGGAGCAGAGGAAAGTGCCTTCTACCGAGTCACACTGTTGATCCACCTGGCCTAGTACTTCCTGCACTGACTGGCAGGGGCTCTCCTGGGTTCTGGCAGGGAATCTTTCCCAGCTCGATGCTCTCCCAGGAGTGAACCTGGGGTCTCCTGCCCTCCCCCTGAGCTCTCCTGACCCTCCAAGGCAGATGCTGGGGAAGCCCTGATCCATCAGCAAGAGTCCTGGGTTCCCTGAATCTAGCCTGATTTCCCGTGGGTCTCCTCAGAGGCGTGTTGAGGGAGGGAAACGAGGAAAAAGCAGCCCTCCTTGGCAAGGGAAATATATGCCTGCTTCTGCTCACCTGGGGAGACGTCCCGCAGCAGAGCAGTGCAGCGCTTGACCAGCATGGCGAACATGGAGAGCCCCAGGGCTGTGGCCTGCTCCTGGATCACCGAGCGACAGTCTTCAGAGAGGCACTCTGCAGGGAAGAGGGGAAACGAAAGGAAACACCGTCAGCGCCCTCCCATGATGAAACCTCGGACAAAACCCCACCAAAGCAGCAGCGACAGAAGTGCTTGTCCAGGGGGCAGTCTGGAAACCAAGCCTTATGAGGAACGGTTGAGGGAGCAGGGGATGTTGAGCATGGAGAAGAGGAGCTCAAGAGGAGAGATAAGAGTCACCTTCAAATATATCACATGCAGGAGGGAGCAAGGGGAGAGGACCCAAACCAATGGATCCAAATGACAAGGAAGGATATTCTGACCCAACATTAGGAAGAGCTGTTCAACAGTGGAACAGACCACCTCAGAAGGCAGCAAACTCTCTTTCCTTGGAGGTTTTTAAGCAGAGGTTGGATGGCCATCTGCCAGGGATGCTTCGTTGAGATTCCTGTGTTGCCAGGGGTTGGGTGAGATGACCCCTGGGTTCCCTTCCAACTCTACCATTCCGTGTTTCTATGAGCCTCACGCCTGACTGATCCACCAAGGGAGCCCTGGAGAGTTGGCGCCAGACCACCACCATTGCCACCAAGCACGCTCTGGTTGCAGGGATGCAGAGCAATGATGTGGGCAAGGAGCGGGGGTGGCATTGCCTGACCTGGACAGGAGGGCTCATCTGAGGATCTCAAACATAAGGAGAGCCTGCTGGATCAGGCCACAGGTCCAGCATCCTGAACGCAAAACCCGCAAGCTGGACCTGAGCCCAAGAGCCCTCTCCCCTCCTGCGGTTTCCAGCAACTAGCACCCAGAAGCACGGCTGTCTCTAACCGTGAAGGCCGAGCCGAGCCATTGTGGTTAATAGCTATCAATTTGTCGTCTTTTAAAGGACAACTGGTAACCACTGCTGCCCCCTCTCCTCCATGCACCTCTGCAAATCTGACAGAGGCCAGTCTGGGCTGCCATGGAGAGCCTGGTGAAAAGGCAGAGAGTCTTAATAGACTGACCCATCCCGCTTTGCCACCCAGGCCCTGGTGCGCCAGCGGGGAAGGGCGGCCACTCAGCCCGGCCCCTTCCCCTCGTGCCAAGAGGAGCTCTGCAGAGTGTCAGAGGGATAATTAGCTGCGCAGCCTGGCTCCGTCTCAAGTCACAGCTGCCGAGGCGGGAGGGGCAGCTCCTCTACCGCTGGACTTGACCAACGCAGATGCCAGGCAGCTTAGGCACTTCTGGAGGGAGGAGGGCAGGGAATCACCCCGCTCCGTCCCCCAGAAGTTGACAGAGGTGATGGGGGGAGGATGCCATGACTCTGAAGCCGTGAATGGAGGGCAAGAGAGGCAGCCCAGCAGTATCTTTGGAGGTTTCCAAATGCACAGTGGAGAGATAGGCAACTTTACAAAAGGCACAGCAGGCAGCGTGATCTGTCCTGTTTACGATACAATATCTTTATTGTCATTGTCCCATACAGAACAATGAAATTGAAAAATCTACATAAGACATTCAAAAACCCTTAAAAACTCTGAAACCCCATTTTAAAATACAATATACTATAGAGACTCTTTATACTGCATTTAGAACCAGAATTGCATTTGGGTAGAAACTGTTTCTCAGGCGGCTAGTCCTGGTCTTTATAACCCTGTACCTTCTTCCGGAAGGCAGAAGCTGAAGGAGATCATTTCAGGGGTGCGCACTATCCTGCGCTATCTCTGCAGCTTTCTTATGGCACCTGACAGTTTGTCACTGAGAGCCAGGCAGGGCTCAGCTACGCAGGTCCTTAACGGCTGGAAACCCAGCGGAGTCTTCTAAGACCCACCAGGCCGACCCGCTTTCCAGTCTCACTTCGCAGCAACAGGGTCTAGGCACTTGCTGCTTTCTCTCTCGCACTCGCTCTGAGGAAACTGAACTTGGGTGTTCAGATTCCACTGACCCTGCAGTTTTGTGCGGGAATCGCAGGACCCCCGCAGAGCGATGCAGGGGGGCGGCTTTTGCTCTGAAGCTGCTGCTCAGCCCAGAAATCTCTTCTCCTTTGCTAAGCGATTCTAAAGGTGGCGCCTGAATTTCTCACGCCTACGAACTGAAGGGGCGGCCAGGGAAGCCAAGCTGGGTGGGTGGCTGCCATTTATTTCCCTTAGGCACTAAAGCTCACCAATAATATCCCAATAAAGTGAGGCGGGGGAACCAGACATTGCTTGCTCCCAACAGGCGGAGATGATGGGAGCTGTAGTCCGACAACAACCTCTTGTCCAGTGTTCTAAAGTGAGGCTCATTTGTAGCACAACTCTGAATATTTATTTATTTAAAAAGTAAAGGACCCCTGACAGTTAAGTCCAGTCGCGAACGACTCTGGGGTTGCGGCGCTCATCTCCCTTTACTGGCCAAGGGAGCCGACATTTTGTCCGCAGACAGTTTTTCCGGGTCATGTGGCCAGCATGACTAAGCCGCTTCTGGCGAAACCAGAGCAGCACATGGAAACGCCATTTACCGTCCTACCGGAGCGGTACCTATTTATCTACTTGCACTTTGATGTGCTTTTGAACAGCTTGGTTGCCAGGAGCTGGGGCCAAATAATGGGAGATCACCCTGTTGCAGGGATTCGAACCACTAACCTTCCGATCAGCAAGCCCTAGGCTCAGTAGTTTAGACCACAGTGCCACCTGCATCCCCTATTTATTTATTACTTTACATTTATATCCCACTTTCCCTCCACAGAGTTCAAGGTAGCTTCCATGGCTCCCCCCCCCATTTAATCCCCACAACAACCCCGCAAGGCAGGTTAGGCTGAGGGACAGGGATGGGAGCAAGGTCTCCCCGTGGGCTTCATGGCCAAGTGAGGCTTGGACCCCTGGTCTCCCCCAGGTCCTAGTCTGTTGCTCTAGCTACTGCACAACTTTACACTGCCCCTCGCCTAGCGCTGCAGGTCCCACTTGCCAGGCCTAGGGGGTTGCAGGGTCCAGAAGCAGCCTGAGATCAGCTGGGCAGAGGGGCAGCTGTGAGGACATTCTTCTAGCACCCATAGAGCTGGTCTCTCTGGGGTGCCAAGATGGAAAGAGGAGACAACCAGGTGACCCAAGAAGGGGCAACAGATCAAAGGATAGTCCTTCTTCACGCAGAATGGAGTTAAATGGTGGAACTCGCACTACCAGGAGGTAGTGACAGCCACCCACTAGGATGCTGATGATAACAGTAATAGTAATTGTAAATAATAATAATAATAATAATAATAATACATCGCCCATCTGACTGGGTTTCCCCAGCCACTCTGTGCAGCTTCCAGCAGATATAAGAACACAACGAAACATCAAACATTAAAAACCTTCCCTTTCCAGGGCTTCCTTCAGATGTCTTCCAAAGACTGTATAGTTACTTATCTCCTTGACACCTGATGGGAGGGCGTTCCACAGGGTGGGTGCCACTACCGAGAAGGCCCTCTGCCTGGTTCCCTGTAGCTTCACTCCTCGCAGGTGACTTTTGAAAGAGGATTAAACAAATTCGGGGAGGAGAGGGCTATGGATGGCTACTAGCCATGCTAGCCGCACTCTGGCTCCACGGTCTGAAGCCACAGGAGAGAGGAGTGTTGCTCTTGGGCTCAAACCCTGCTTGCAGGTTTCCCATAGGCATCTGTTCAGCCGCTGGGAGAAGAGGAGGCTGGACTAGACGGGCCCCCTTTGGCCTGATCCAGCAGGCTCTCCTTATGTTCTCAAGTGGCAGAGGGGGCCTTGTGGGCGCTCCTCTCCCAGGTTCGCCCCAGCCAGGCTGCTCTCTGGAGCACAGGGGATGCTCTGGCACTCACACGCCCGCCCTGGTGTCCGTCTACCTGGGAGCTGCCTCCCGCTTGGCCGGGAAGGCCGCTTTCGTTTCCCAGAGAACAAAATATTCGTGGAAAACATAAACCAACTGTCGTCAAAGTTGTCGAGGCTCAGGAAGCGGAGAGGGGCTGCCATGTGGCCGGATGTTATGCCTTTCCAATTAGCGCTATACATCTTTCAGCGGCGGGAGAGTGTCCCCTTTTTCTGTGCTGGGAAACCGAGAGCGCGGCCCTTGTTATTGTAACTGTCAAGGAGTGCTTAAAACAGATAATCTCCAGGAAAAGTGATAAACACCCAGTGCTCCCCGCCAGGGTGTGCTGGACACCATCGGCCAGGCCTGAAGGGCAGCGAGAGAGGAAGGAGGTGGCCATGGAGGAGGGAGCCAGAGGAAGAGCCTGGGAAGAAGAAGCAGGAGAAAGCAGAAATGCCACCGACAGTGCCAGCTTCCTCCCCAATGCCCGGATGGGAGCAGCAAAGCAAGACGAGGGAGCTACGTGAAGGCCACTGCCAGGTCAGGGGAGCCAGTGGAAGGAGCGAGAGCAGCAGCAGGGCTAATGCCCAGGCAGAAGGGGCCAAATGGCCCCAGATGGAGACAACTGCGCAGTTAACCTATGGAACTTGCTCCCACGGGAGGCAGGGAGGGCCACCAAGCGAAATGGCTTTAAAACAGGGTTGGACAAATCCACGGAGGAGAAAAAGGCTACGGAGGACTACGAGGCACAATGGCTCTGTCCCGCTTATGGGGTTGCCTTTGGGCATCTCATTGGCCACCGTGAGAAGAGGATGCTGGACCAGATGAGCCACAGGCCTCATCCAGCAGGCTCTTCTTCGGTTCTTATCCACAGTCCAAAGAGGAGAGTTCCCAACGCAGAGGCATCATCATCATCTACCTGACGAAACACACAGGACGTGGGTGTTAAGAGAGACCCTGATTTCAGGCCAAGGGAGGCCAGTCTTGGTGGGCTGTGCAGGGTCCAAAATTGCACCAGACCATTTGCCAAGGCAGAAAAACCTTAACCCAGCAACAAAGAGGGGAGAGAGAGCTCTTTTGCTCGGATTCTGCTTTTGGCCTTCCCGGAAAAAGCATGCGCTTGGCCCCCTTAAAAAGAGGATGGTGGCCTAGATGGGCCACTGGCCAGATCCAGAGTCTTGCACAGCCCAGGCTGAATGAGACACACCTTTCCAGATGTTACGCCAGAGAGCTTGGCCTTTGAGAGCAGAAGGCAGCAGCAGCACTCTGC